GTAGACCCCGGCCTTGACCCATGAAGTTAGCCCGTAACTCGTGCTTATGTTACTATTTGGGTCATAAAGGGCCGCATGGGCCCCCTTTTTTGAAGAATCCCAACTTCCGTGAAAGCCATAGCACATTGCGTTAATCCAATCCAGATTTCGATTAATGGACCGGACAGGGTACGAACGCCGGACGTCGGATAGGAAGAAATTAACGGAGAAATACACCGCCGCCGTGAGCAGCAGAGGAGCGCGGTGTAGCCTTTGCCTCCGCCTTGATTGCTTCCCACCATTCGTTAAATAGTATGCTCAAGTCTAGCATTTGCTTCGGGTTCTCGGGAGACTCCCCATCGAGATCCATCCCGTCAAACCCGAGATTCCGCGCGACCTCCAAGGCTGAATTGATGAAAGCTTTACGCGAAACTGGGCAGGATACCATCTGGGAATGTAACAAATTTAACTTAAATAATCTACAGAGAAACAATACTAATTAAATACAGCGCGATCAAATTTACATTATCCATCTGCATATATATATAATGCTACTTTATGCATTAAATATGATAGTATTATATTTATTTATTATATAATTATTAACAAATAGACAATTCACACTTGGCCCGTGTGGTCCAGTGGCTAGAGCTATTGAAAAGTGCACATCCCCCTCCTCTGGGCGGATTTTGAACCCGTTCCATGACAAAACTGTTCAAAAAAAAAAAAAAAACAAATAGACAATTCATTTTTTTATCTAAAATTATATCATTATAAATCAAATTATTATTTGTGATGAGTTTCATGTTTATCTTCAACAATAAAATTATAAGTTATAATTATTGTTGTAATTGTTTTACTATTTAATGTAAAGAAAGCAATAAAAAATTAATAATATGATAGTTATAAATTTATATATTTATATATATATAATGCTACCATATCCATTAAATAAGGTATGTATTTATATGTACATTTATAATATATAATAATATTATATAATATATTTTTATTTATTATTTATTA